AACCCTGATCAAACAAGTCAACATATTCCTTCCTTTTGCTTCTGACAATCTTAATCTTTAACTTATCAAGTTACTGTCGTAGGATTGAACCTCTGTTTAAACTTTCTTTCTCCCCTCTCAAAGATTTCTTCAAGGTTTTAGAAACCTTCTTTTGCAAGTTCCAGTTCTACTTCTGAAGCTATCATCCTCCTGTTACAACTCACACCAAAGCCTTACCCCCAACTTACCTGAAGCCATAAGATAAGAGGAAGGTCTGTGAAATTCTGAGTAGGACTGTCTGCATAGTACAGCCACCAGAACATGCTTGCATTGCTTCTGACAGGAACATACTCCCATGCCTGTTTTGCTTCTTTGGGTTCCTTTATTAAAAAACCTAAAAGGAAAAATGCTAAGCAGTTACCATGCTTTGTAAAACTAATAGCACAAGAACACTGGGCATTCTCCTATCTTTGTGAGAATTACAGCAGAAGCATCTCTTCCTTCTACACTACCACTTCAAACCTACAATCCCTTCATATCTTCTTGCACAATTGGCCTTGCACAATATGTGGTTCTTCCAAAGAATAGCCACAGTAGGGTTAGCAGTGCTACTTTCAGTGCCAGAAGTACCCTTGGGTTTGACAGGATCCTAGGACAAACAGAGTTAATCAGCAAGGCCTAGATTGGATTCCCAACGCCAAGTGTTCCATCAACACTGATGATGGGGGAACAAGAGGCAGAGGCAGCCTGTGGCTTTGTTGCAGAGACCAGTGGAAGGATATGAAGTGACCTTCACCCCAGAGCTATGATGTATCAGAAAGTAAGGTTTACATATCAAAATATCTCACATGACTCAGAAGCATTAACAAGATTTTGTCTGTCAACATCAAGAATCTGCAGATCATCTGCCATCTGAATTCATTGTACTCTTGAGGCAATCTCTGCCCACTTCAACAGGACAAACCCATAAATAGCGATGCATTAACCTCATTCCTTTCTTCTGAGAGTATACAGGTTATAATCCACCCTGGTCTACCCATGCAACAGAATGGATCCTACCACTTCAGAGTCCAAACAGATGGTAACATTTTTGGGGTGTGATCAGTTATAAAATACCATTTATTTGAAGACAACCTGTTGAACTTTCTTCCTACCACTCCATCGTTTGTTCCTTTTCCTGGATGTTTCCAAACAAAGCTCTGGGCTACACCAACCTCAGCGTATGGAGCCCACAGGCATTCTTGGAAATTAAAAAAAAAAAAAGACATGCCAGTTTTCTTAACTAAAAAAATCTTAAAAAAAAAAAAAGGAAAGGAAAGGAAAAACATAGAGCAGGTAGGAACTTGGAGGGTGCCAGTTCTCCAATCTCATGCAGTGATCTGTGGGATAGGAGCAGCGTCACCAGAAAGCCCCACCTTTCCCCATTTTTACTCCTGCTTCTCTTGCCATGGGATGGCTCCTTTGGGATTTTTTCTCCAATCCCACAGACCACTCTCTGGAATCACAGCTGGCAGTAGAGGACACCCCATCTCATTCTAGTGGGCTCAGCTGCTTTGGAGCTCTTCAGTAGACAGGATTCAACCTTGCAAGACACTCCAAGGTTCACAGTTTAACAAGCAGGGCTGTAAAACCAAATCCAGTGCCAAGTAGATGCCAGTATAGCCTCCTATACCTTTGCTCATCTTCCACCAAGAGGACACATTCCTTCAGCAGCTTACGTCATATCAGTCCTACTGAACCCAATACCATTGTAGGTGTAAGGTTATGTAAAATATTGCCACCTTCTTTTCCCCACAGTATCTGTTAGCAACACTTTAATCAACAACTGTGACATCTCTCTACAGTGCAAATGGGTACTCCTAATTACACTTGTGCTTGATAGACCATTCATTATTAAAAGGGCAGAGGAGAAAAATAAAATAAAAAGGAGTACCCAATCCTCAGAGTGCAGTGGATACAATCCCTGTCAGCTGTTCAATGGGATTTACTTCCATAATAAGTAAATGTGAGAGTAAATCACATTGCGATCTCTGCCGCAAACACAGAGACCTTCCAAGTACAAGAGTTGCTATCCTATAGTGATTTACCTACAAGTAAATCCCATTCAAATCAGTGGGACTAACCTGAATAGACTTGTATAGGATTGCATTCTTCTCCCCTCTAGTGCTCAAATGTATTGACTCAGGGTAAGATAGATAGGATTGGTACAAGTTTAACTCTACTGATCTGAATAGACTTGTGCTAAGAAGTACTATACCTGGTTTTTAAAAAGAACCAAACATGTAGGGTTATCACATACAGTTTGCAAAAATCCAGAAGATCACTTGATAGCAGCAAATTAGAGTGTTCTATAGCTCTCTGCTGCCGTGTAGTGGCCATCCAGATTTTTACTGCCCAGATATGACAGCCTTAACATCTGGCTCTCTTCCACAGCTGCCACCCGATTCAAAGATATCTTGCAGAATAATCCTACAAACATCTACTCTGAAATACTTTCTGAGTTCAATGGGGTTTGCTCCCATACTATGTTGATGAAGCATGGAGAGGTTAGGCTAAAACTGAGGAGGCACAAGTTCAGATGTACCCTCAGTCATGGAAACTCAGCAAGGACTTTGGGTAGGTTACTATTTCTTTTTTCTTTGGCCTATGAAAATGCCTGCTGTACCACATATCCCCGTTGTCTTTGAAGAAACATTCCCACCTTTGGGAGGAGAAGTTATACAATTTAAATTTAAGTCTCTTACTTTTCATAGTTTTTCTTACATAAGTAATTAGATTTTAAAATGCTAGCTTTAAAAAAAAGGGTGGCTGCTTAATAATTAAGCCTTAGTTGGAATGTTTCCTTTTAAGCAAATTTAAAAACTTGTTTTAAATAACCTACCAATTAAGGGACTGGATATTTCACCCTTACTTTCCAAACAAGCCTGTTCAACTGAGTACCCAGAATCAAAGCATTTCCCCACAGCAGCTGTGCCAGGGTGTCCCAAGGAAACAAAAAAATATGGGGATGAAAAAGGAAAAGAAAATTCCCCCAAAAAACAGAAAAAAAAAAAAAAGTGCCCGAAGGTATTTTAGCAGGTACTAACACTGCCTCCATCTGCAGACTGCAGCAGCTTTTACTGGAGAAGCTAGAATCCCATTTTCTCCAGAGGAGGGAAGTGAAATTCTCTCCCCGAAAGATCATGCCGGCTGAAGCTGCTCGGAGTTGTAGTTCGCCAACCACCCAAGGCGGGGACAGGAGAAAAGGCTCCAAAAAGAGGAATCAAGAAACTCACGCAGAGATTTCAGCCCATGATTACTCATTCAGATTCTGTCATCTGCATAGTATTCTTCCACGGAGGGAGACTTGCACAGCTGACAGGGTGAGCAGGCTAAGTTCAAGACAAATTTCTTACATCTCAATACAAATAGAATAACAGTGGATCTTACGCTCGGGTTAGAATCGAGATGCCCGTCAATTTCAAATTCAACAACACAAAAGGGGCATGATTCACGAATCGTGTTACACCTCCCGTGAACTTCTGCATGTTTCTTTTTTTAAAATGAACTGTCACTACGCCCACACGATCTGAAAAAAAGCCGTTTCCCTTCCAAACTTACCTGAACTTAGAGTCCACAGCGACAATATCAGAATAATGCTTTCCGTCAGCAGCATTTTGACACCGGCACCGCAATTTTCTGAGTAATAATCATAGGACTCGAGTTCCCCGTCAGCTGCTTCTGGAAAGGGGGAAGTGGCGAGCCGCGCTTAAAACGAGCACTGCGGAAGAGCGTCCTCTCCCCGCCCAAACTCGGGAGCTGCAGTGCTTTCCTAAAAGCTCCGCACGTGATCGCTTTGGACCGGCACGACCTTTGCGCGCTGGAACTGAACGAGCGGCGACGTCGGGCCGGCTTTTACCGCGCGAGATTCAAAGCGCAGGCGCCGATTCTGCGTCTGTCTCGGCGGGGCGGATTTCGCGTCAGCGGTTCTTCGGCTCCGTGCTGGAAGACCGTCAAGTCTGGCTCATTTATTGTCCCAGTTTTGGCTCCCAGTGCAATCAGAATGGGGGGGGAAATGAACTTAAGAGTAGTTTACCTTGTAAGTTGCAGGCAGTCTTTCTGACAAAATTGTGACAGCGCCCTGCTTGGAGTTGTTTCCATCAAATGTATTTCTTGCTGGTAAATGTAGCCAGACACTAATGTGGTTTAGCCTTGTGTGCAAACTCAGCCAATAGGGTTTAATAAATCACAAGCAAAACAGGACATATGATTTGTGAACCGTGTATTTGCCTCCACTACTTCCTCCTTATAAAAAGGGAAATCTTCCTGAAGTACAAGCACTTCTAAACTTGCACAAGCTTGTCCAAAAAACAAAGATTGCAGCTTGCCCCAAAGAGAAATATCAGTGAGCAGACTTTGATAGTGAATAGTGAATGTGGCTTGTTTGGTTTTGGCTTAGTGTGTTGGGTCAATACAGCCAATTGTGGCTTATTCAATGAAATAGGACTTAAATACTTTTAACTTTGAGTGTTTCATCTTCAGCCAGTCACAGCAGGCATCCTTTCTTCTGGCTTAGTTCTCATTGTGCTAGGTTGAATCTGAGCTGGACCGCTCCAGACTGCAAGAATATCTCACCTGCTTTGCTACCAAAAATATGGTAGTACAAAAAATCTGGTCCATAAGAGAGTGATTCTAACATAACCTTTTTCTCTGACATTCACGTTTCCATGTTATTCTCATTTTAAAATGGAGAAATATTCCATTAATTAATCCCTCAATTACAGTTATAATCAAAGCACAAATTGAACATTGTACTAATGTAAAAATAATCTTCACCTCAGCCTCCTCCAAATTCAAACAGCTATTATGAGCAAACCCAAGGAAAGAAGGACACAAACTGACTTAGTTAATGTATTTCCATCTCACTACAAACTTATTTATGTAAACAGAGAGAGGCAGCCTGATCCTATGCAGAGGGCTGCTAGCTATCACAGCGGGAGGGAGAATAAAAGTGCTGGGCATATTTCCAGAAAATTCTCATGAACAGAGAATTCAGTGAAGGAAAAGTGTGAAAAATGAATATGTATCTCCACCTAAAATTAAAAGAGGTTTTAGACCTTTAACAGCATTGCTGACTTCCAAGTCTTCTACACATTTTGTGGACAGCCTAAACAAGTCTCCTGCTATCTCCTATTTTTACTTTTTATTTGCATACCAGTACGATAAAAAGAGCCAGTAGGTGACATGCTGCCCTTGGCAAGATGAGCAACTACAGTTCAAATCATCATTGCCCTATTTTTTTCACACGTTCCTGTGTTTTTATCAGCAGTTTTATGTGCAGGCATCAGGAAATGGTGATGCAATCTCTTTGGTGTGAGGAGATTTCAGAGGGAAGTTAAACTATTCAGATTGAACAAGGAAAAGGAATTTGTTTGTCTCTCTCTCCGGGACTCCAGTGTATCCAGAGATCCTGAAAGCTTCCACCTAACTTTTTGTTAGGATTATTTTACTTTAAAAGTATTCAGTTAAAAGGCACTGACAAACTGCATGCAAAGCTGCAATAGTTTTATTTTTTTTATTACCAAGAATAAATAACCTTAAACTTCAGTCACCTCACAAAACCTGCATGAAACTATTTTTTCATTGATTTCAGGCTACACACACACACACACACACACACACAAAATATACATTAAAATGGCAATTAAATTAAAATGGCAATTAAAATAAGTTATATGATGTAAAAGAGGAAGAAAGGAAGAGTTAAGAATTTTAAAGGTATCAAAGAAATGCAGTTTTGTTGGACAATATTTGTTGCCTCACTCTTGTAGCAGGAAGGCAGAATTTGGCAACATTATGGGTGACAGAGCGTTTATGTTCTGCTAAAAGATAGGAGATGTACTATTGGTCATCTCTCCCTGGGAATTCCTTTATGAGTGGCTGGATTAATACCTCACGCAGGTTCAAATAGAAATTACAGTACACGCTGAACATCATCTATAGTGTGGGAGTCACAGGGACAAAGTTGTTTGTGGAAGGGAAGTTTTTGATATTTATCATCAATAACTGCTGAAGGGAGCATGTTGAATCTGGCCAGAACAAATGCTCTGCGATGTGTTAGTATATGTGTAATATGTATTTCTAGGCCCCAATTCTGGAAGTTGCAGTTTTATACATTTGGAGACTTCAGGCTGGTGAAGGCTGTGCTAGGCATTGAAACCTTATGGAAAAGGGCTCTCAGTTTCTCTCATCTTTATTCCTTACATTTGGGGAGCCAAGGGATGACAAGGA